CTGTAGCAACAGCTAAAAGAAACAACTTGAGATGCAGGTTGGTATATTTCTCCAATTGTCCTGGCACGTCTTGGTACCTCTATATGGAATATACCATATATATATATATATATATATATATATATATATATATATATATATATATATATATTATAAATTGATTTATTTAAAATATGTTTTTTTTGCTACACAGTTCTAACCATGTTTCAAAAATGGAAGCTAAACCTACGAATTTAATTTTGTAATTAAATTAAAGACATTATTTCCATTTCATCCTCAAGCGAATTTTTAGAATTATTAGAATGGTTAGAACTCTGTAGCGAAAAAACAACATTTTAAATAAATCAATTTATAATATTAATGCTCTGTAAATTTACATTGAACACTATTTTGTAAAAATATCTATAAGAACATCGGATTATATATCTTTACTATTTCTTTTATTTATATATATATATATATATATATATATATATATATATATATATATATATATATATAGTCTGTATTTAGGCAACATTTTTCCATTCATACATGTTTCATTAAATAATATAGACAAGTGTTGTCTATTTATTTTATGTAAATTCTTTTCATAATGTCTGATAAGCTTAATAACATTATCATTAAACGAAGAAAGAAAATCACAATATGAATACATATTTTTAATCCAATCTAAGCTTTCGGTTTACATAAGCCATTATCAAAGATGACAGTCCTTAACAGCAACAAACAGGACAGACGTTATGAAAAGAATTTACATAAAATAGACAACACTTGTCTATATTATTTAATGAAACATGTATGAATGAATAAATGCTGCCTAAATTCACACAATTTAAATTACATGATCCAGCAGCCCACACTACTATCAATACTTGGAATTATAAATGTACCCTTGTGAAAAGGCAAATTGAAATAGCCAGGAAAAATTTTACAACCTTAGCAGCAACAAACAGGACATGTACAGTAATTGTCATCTTTTTATATATATATATATATATATATATATATATATATATACACCATATATATATATATATATATATATATACATATATATATATATATATATATATATATATATATATATATATATATATATATATATATATATATATATATCCATCAGGATCCATCAGGATCTAAATTATGGTTGCTCATGTGCAGTCAGTTATGTGCCCTGCGTGATACATGCTTAGGCGATCATGTACCTTTCGATACATGACTGACTAGAAAGATTTTTTTTTATGCGTAGTAGATTGCCATTTCTTTCTGCGGTAAACCAGTTACCATCCAAGGAAACCCTGTCTGTCCTGCTATTTACCCAGAGCCTTAGAAGAAGAGGATTCATACCTTTCCCAAAGATATTAGCACGTAAGTAAATGTAATGTATTCGACTGGAATTCTAACTCAGCTCTCAATCCGAGCCACGAGCCATTACTCCACCTTTCCTTCTACACCACTGTATGATATTAGGGCGATTACTCTCCAAGCGCTTGTCTGTCAAGATGGTTGTATCCAACATGAGATTATTATTATTATTATTATTATTAGTGAATTGGAAGCTTTTCCAATCAATCCGTCGGATCCAACTACAACTATAACTAAAATTGTTGATGTCCTCATGTGTCACATTTTTGAGATTTCGATTTTAAGGACCTTGTATTTTGATAGTTTTCTGAAGATCTTCAAACATACATTGTAATCTGCAGTCTGCCTGGGAATAAGAAGGCACGTTTTGTCTTTGCAGTCTTTGATCACATTATTATTATTGTTATTATTATTACTACTACTGGTACAACAACAACTACTACTACTAATTGATAGAGCAGCACGTCAATAAAGTGAATCTGGCCTACAAATGCTGAAAGCCCTACGTGCCGATTATGACATCGCCTTAGCTATTTCTTTCTTCCAAGTGAGAAAATAAACCTACCGGCTTGATACTTGATCATGATCTCCCCAACTGCAATACATCATGAAAAGATTTGATCAGTGCGTTCAACAACCCTTGGGTGGCCTCTTTCCTTGGTAGAAATTTATATATGTGATATGGTTTTGGAGGTAAATTAGCCATGAATGATTCCACGGGAATTTACGACAAATACTCCAAAACGTGCTGACCGTGTTCGGAAATTAAAATATTGCTATTGCTACAGAAAGTAATGTAGATATTCAGAAAAATAATCCTTCATAATAGATGTGGCGAAAGCTTTTCGGATCCTTAGATCATTCGGACAGTCTCTATAACAAAAAAAAAAAAAACAACTTGATCGCAATGCCCTATCAGCCGTCCTCCTTGAAACCTGTGTGTAAATATATATATATATATATATATATATATATATATAAAGATATTTTTGTAGGTACAAAATTTAATGATCGAAATAAAAGTGTAAAATTTAATATTACAAGACATATTAAAAATAATATTAAATAATAAAAAAAAAACAAAAAACTCAACAACAAAGGGGGGTGGGAAACATGACAGTTTCGCTCCGCTCATCGAACTTCACGGGAGATTCAAAATTAAAATTACCTTTCTCTGTTTTTTGAATCTTTTTTTTTCTCTATTGTTTTAAATCTTTTGTAATATTAAATTGTTTTAATACTTTAATTTCGGATATTTCGATATATATATACTTTTATAAATTTTGGGGGCAAGTTCCTCAAAAATAAACAAGGAAAAAAGTACATATAAACATATGTTCGAAAATTGTTCGTTTAAATTTAACGAAAGTTTATTGTAGATGGCGCTGTTTAGACTAGGTTAAATTTCACATTCGTGTACACTTGTGGCTAATTTGTCTTTCGTGTAGTAGTGAGGTGTGTTCCGTTTAACAATGGTAGAATATTCATATCGTGAGCAGGCGAATATGATTTTTGTATACAGCCGCGAGAATGGTAATGGACGCGAGGTGGCACTACAGTATCAGATTGCTTTTCCATACTTTGCTGCTGTTTATCATCGTGTTGCTGAGAAAGGATTCTTAGCACCCCAAACTGTGGATCGAGGAAAATATATATATACCCATCCTTTACTGTTGATATTTCGTTTTTGTCTGTTTAGAACGGAATTAAATTATATATATATATATATATATATATATATATATATATATATATAATTAATTATAGCACGTTAATTAGTTATTTTACTTACTCGTATCGTTTTTTTTTCTTTGAACTCTGAACTTAAATGTTAGACGATTGTCTCCAGCTGACGTACATGTTCTTTGTTTCTTTCTTTATTTGTACTTTTTTCCTTTTGGTATTGGTTTGTTTATTTACAAATCAAGGCACCTAAGGTTTTCGGATGAGTATAATTTCTTATATTTAAATTATTATTTATATATATATATATATATATATATATTTATATATATATATATATATATATATGACAATTGGACTCGCAAGTCATTGATAGTGAGTATGACACCCGTAAATACATGTTATTCGTAGTTTCAAAGAGATACTAAGCTCAGATAAGCCTACTAAACTTTTTCAAATTAAGTTTTATATATATATATATATATATATATATATATATATATATATATATATATCAATTGGAAAAAAAAGTTTACTAGGCTTATCTGAGCTTAGTATCTAATTGAATATATATATATATATATATATATATATATATATATATATATATATATATATATATATATATATAGAAAAGAACAGTAAGATATAAAATCCGGTGTTCTTATAGATATTTTTATTTTTTTACAAAAATAGTGCTCAATGTAAATTTACAGAGCATTAATATTATAAATTAATTGATTTAAAAATATGTTTTTTTTCCGCTACACAATTTCAACTATGTTTTCAAAAATAGAAGCTAAAAATCCCGAATTTAATTTTGCAATTAAATTAAAAGCATTAGTTCATTTCATAATTTAATTGCAAAATTAAATTCGGGGTTTTCTTCTATTTTTGACTTTATGGTTGAACTGTGTAGAGAAAAAAACATATTTTAAATCATTTAATTTATAATATATATATATAGATAGATAGATATAGATATAACTCAATTGAAAAGAAGTTTAGTAGGCTTATTTGAGCTTAGTAGCTCTTGAAGCTACGAATAACATGTATTTACGGGTTTCATACTCACTATCAATGACTTGTGAGACCAACTTGCAATTTAGCTAGGACACGTTCTCACATGATATATAATTTCGCATTAAGTTTTCCTTCATTCTCAGTGTCTCGTAACTCGGTTTTTGTTTTTGTTGACAAGATTGTCATTCTGACTACGAGTCTCACTCCATCGTCCCTCTACCCCCCACACACCCTCCGAATCTTCAACCGAACACACAAACAATCATTGTCTTTCGTATTGTCGCGTTTCCTTTTTTTTTTATTCTTAGTTCTTTTCCTCTGCTGTCAGCAATTATGACTTCGTTAGTTCCAACCTTCACCTACTCCCACCCCGACGCCTACCACTTGTCTTTTACGCACCTCAACCGACCTTCAGCGTCATTGCTAGTCAACTCTATTTAACACACTTCATTATGAAGGTCTCTCACTCCCACGTAAAGATCCATGTAATCGCTTGTAAGCCACCGCATTGGCTCAGTGGTTGAGACGGTAGGAATTTGTCATCAGCGCCAAAATCTTTGCCTCTATAAACGTTTACTTGCTTTAGAAATTTATTTACACACATCCTATTTCGTTAGAATAAAATATAATACAATCCTTTTGCTCACTTATATTGTGTGGAGAAGAGGACAGATATCGAAGATGGCGTGTTTGGACATATAAACTAGAGTGGTAAAAACTCCGATAGGTAAGAGAGGCTGATAGAATGAAGTCAATATTGATAGAAAGAAAACAACTTGAGAATGATAAATATAAACAAGGCTAGATAGATAGATAGATAGATAGATAGATAGATAGATCACATTGGTCTAAAGAAAGAAAGAGTTGAAAAAGAAAGAAAAATGAAATATAGAATGCAAGGGAAAGTGGTGAATATGACTAATTTAGATAGATAGATAGATAGATAGATAGATGAAGGAAATGAGATAGATAGATAGATAGATAGATAGATAGATAGAGAGAGAGAGAGAGAGAGAGAGAGAGAAACAAGTTGTGATTAATAGAAATAAATAAAGAAACACGTTGATAAAGAAAGTTGCGATAAATATTAGGTTGGTGCAAAAATAATGTCGTTTTTTACGTTCAACTTAACGTCAAACAACGACATTACTTTTGCACCAACCTAATATAAACAAGTTAAGATAGATAAGACCAACTTGAGGTTGACAGAAAGAAGAGAAAGAAACAAACTGCCATAGAAACAAACCCGCGTAGATAGATAGATAGATAGATAGATAGATAGATAGATAGATAGATAGATGAAGAAATTATCGTCTAAATTACGCAAAAACGAAAATAACACTAACATCGCACTTTAACAGATATATTTACTAAAATTACACAAAAATATATTGAAATAGTAAAGAGTAAATTTATTGAACACAATCGCCATTGGCTTCAACCACGGTCTCCAGACGACTTCGGAAATTCCGGCGACTCTTCTGAACGGTCTCCTTATTTAAGTTGGTGAATGCTGCCATAATACTTGCCTTCAGTTCATCTTTGGTGTTACAAGGAGTTTTGTTGGTCACTCAGTCAAATGCACCCCAAACATAATAATCAAGAGGATTGCAGTCTGAGGAGTAAGAGGTGATGTGGTCGCAGATATTGTCTGACAGCCCTGACTGTGTTCTGCTGCTTTTGTGGCATGGTGCAGAGTCCTGTCGGAAGATGAATGGAGACATAATGTCGTCATCAAAAGTGATCACTTTTTAATAACTTTTAGACTCAGCCAACTCTCTTCGAATCCGTTTGACTGTCGTCAGATTGACACGCAAACATTCTGCAGTTTCCAAAATTCTGGCGGAGGGAATTGTCACATGGTGTTCTTGTTCTCACAGATAGTGCCCTACTGATCCTAGTATATTGTACAGTTGACAATATCCAAAACAATCAGAACGCATGTGTGAAATTAAAATTAAAATGGCGACAATTTACTCATCGCACCCTGTAGATATTTCGTTGTTCTATTTAGAAAGGAATTACCATTATTAGAAGTATGCATATTTGAATGTAGATAATTTTTTATGTATAGGTATATAATATAATATATATGAATAAACTGAGATAGATAGATAGATAGATAGATAGATAGATAGATAGATAGTGAGGGATAGAGATAGATAGATAGATAGATAGATAGAGAGAGAGAGAGATAGGGAGAGATAGAGATAGAGATAGAATCAAGCTGATATCGATGAGAATTAAATAAGTTGTCTTGCTGCCGTTACAGTGTAAACATGGCCGCTCCAATAGCTGTGTGCACCAAGGAACAAAGAGCAATGATGCAATGATGCAATTTCTGTGAACTACCGTTTAGAAATGTATATGAATGAATTGAGAACTTTAAAATTGGCCGGCCAGACGTGACGCACGGAGAAAGAACTGGGCAACCGTCAACCTCCACTACCAACGGGGATGATTCAGCAAGCTTGAGAAATGGTAATGGCGAATCGGCGAGTTATCATATATGAGGTAGAATGTTCTCTGCAGATTCGTATCACTGCTCTTTGTTCATCTTGATTCTTAACCACTTCACGTCAAGGTTCTATTATCGTTAACTATCCTCCTTATTCACATTATCTCCACTTTCTACCAGCTCTGATTACATTCGCAGCACACACCACATTCTCATAATTATTTTCACAGTGATTCACTACATTGGGTGACTCTTGAGTCTTGTATTAAGTGAAATTTAGTATTAAAAATGCTACCTTTTTAAAGGGACATTCTTTCAGATCGGTGGTAGACTGTTCTCGTTTTAGAGCAGTGGTTTTCAACCGTGGTATATATTGACCCTGAGGTGTCCGTGTAACATTATTGGAGATCTACACATTGAATAGCAAATTAGGGGTGCACGGTAATATTTTAAGGATTTTATATAAAGGAAGCACGTATGTTACTATTTCTATAATATAATTATTAAACTTATCTATAACTAAAAAATAAAATAAACTTTCTTTTCATCAAACGGTTATGGGGTTCCACCAGCAATTAACAAGGGTAAAATTAGTCCATAGGTTAAAAAAAACCCTTTGAGAACCAATGGTTTAGAGATATCCACTAAATATTAGCAATCGAACGAGAATATTCTTAATTAAACAAAAGGTTCAGAATTCACCGTAGGTTACTGTTGCACCGTAAAAAGATAAAGGTTGACACATATATAGAAAATAAATAGTAGCTTATTCAAGAGAATAATATGGTACACGGTTGAGAACATAGACTAATGTAATAAACAGTTAATCATTAACTCCCTAGGAATTTATCCGAGATTTCCCCACGTGGGGCTATTACGAGCGTGTACGCCCAGGAAAAAAATTCCTTGTTGACCCAGCATACACGGGGTCTAGTGGCTGTCTACCTCCGCAAACGAGACTCTACCCTTAGGCATAGCCTCATCTGAGTTCCTCTCCGCCCGAAGGCAGAGAGTCGACAAGCAGAGTAACGATTAATCGTTAACTCATAGGTATTTACGCGAGACCTCCCGACAAGGCGGTATGTGACACAAGGCCAGTTTTTAAAGTGGCGTTCTCCGATCGCCTAGGCATGGACAAAAATTCCCCGTAGATCCCTCATAGACGGACTCGGGCAGCTGTGTCTGCGCTCCAGCACCCCCCCACACACACACACACACCGCAGATGAGACTCTGCCCGTAGGCATGGCCTCGTCTGTATTCCTCTCCGCCCGAAGGTAAAGAGTCAACAATCGTTAACTCATCTTCCTCAATAAGAGAGAGTACTGTTTAACACTTTCACTGCTACTCATTTGCCTAGTGCTGCCCACATCCGGTCAGCCATTTTTAAAGAAAACGCCAAATTTCAACCTACATATTTTATTACACAGAAAACTGGCACCAGTGTGTTTTACAGCCTTCCATTTTCATGGATATACCTGGGAATGACTTACCAGACCAGTAATGGGTATACACATGATATCTTTTGAAGCATTGTCCTTTGTGATTTGACGATAGATGGCGCAACGGGACACTCATATCAGCGGCATGCAAAAAAACGTAGGTTTCCGTACTTAGCCAGCTGGAGCAAGATAAGAAAAACGAAGATCTCCCTAGTTAGCAGCGGAAGTGTTAAATAGTCTTAGACCAGTCCATCTTGTGGGGGTATTCAGCTACTCCACAACAGTTACCAGATCAATATACATGTAAGGAAGGCTGGAGAACACAACGGACGAAACGTTGTGAAAAGAACAACAAAGATGAGGACAATAGTCCGAATATAATAGTGTAAATTCTGTTATTTTGGGGTACAGATTTCTGCGTGTCTGCTTCTATGCCCACTTCACATTAGGCTTCTTCATGTCAAGGAGCAATCATCGTCTATTTTCCTTATCCCTGTTTTCCATTCTTTTAAGCTTCTCTTCCATCCATAGCACACTTTGAATCGCTCTTGTACCTTGTATGGCGTAGAGTTTGCAGAAATAAGCGTAAGGATATTTCTGCCTTGAAAAACAGCCGTCGAAATATTGGCTTTGACCACGGATTCAGTGAGAAATCTGATATTCTCAGCCTCATTTGTTAAGACCATAAAAAGTCTTATGAGCTGTTATGTAATTTCAAGCCTCCTATATGGGGATGAATGCTGGAAAATCGCCTCACAGATAAAGAATAGACTTGAAGCAACAGAAATGTGGCTCTGCAGGAGCATACTGAGAATGCCATGGACCGAACATTTAAACAAGAACGAAGTTTTAGAGAAAATGGAAACAAAAACGACACTCATATTTAACATCAGAGAGAGAGAGAGAGAGAGAGAGAGAGAGAGAGAGAGAGATTTCAAATTTCTAGAGTTCATAAAGCGGAAATAGGTCATATTGAAGGCGAGAGAAGAATAGCATATAACATATCTAGTGAGCTTGGGTAAATGGATGGCGGAAGAGGGTTTAGGTGAGATAGTAAAAAGACAAAAAATATTAAGAGCTACAAAGGGAAGGAAATTGTGGAGGATCATGATCGTCCGGAAGGAACAATGAAGACGAAGAAGCCATTATTTTTATTATTAATATTTTCGACTAATATTGATTTAGCTAATACACCTCAAAGGAATGAATGAATTTTATTTATAATCCGATATTACGTCTTATTCCTTTAAACGTTATATGCAATTACATAAACGTGTTTGATTAGAAATCTTGAGTTTTCAAACAGTCCAAATTTGCGTTAAAAATCTGGTATGTCTACACAAACCGGTTTCTCCACGAGAGGTTCGATTTATTTTATAATAGGTAAGCAGAGCTGATTAGAAAAAAATATCAAAGAACAGGTATAATTTCTGTTTTTGGTGACCATTTGTTTTAGTCATATATTTATTCTTAGATTTACATTGACCTGAACTTCTGTGAGACTTACGGTCATATAAGTTTCAAACACCGGTTTCCGTCCGATCACCGAAGTTGAACAACCTCCAGCCTAGTCAGTAACTAAAGGGGTAACCGATTAGCAATACTGGCTGCTGTTAGCTTGGGTGAGTGGGTGGTATACTGAATAAGGGTTAAGATGTGAAACCGGAGAGGCGAGTTCGGATACCACTTCACTCTGTTACATTTATTAACACAAATCCTCTTGGACGATCATGAATCGAAAAAGAGATACATTCGTCCCTACACGCATTTGGCCAGTGATGTAGGGTAATGACCCGGTACTGTCGATGAATCTGGGTAAGGCCAAAATTCAAGAAAGATCTTTCAGAGGCTGAGACGAAGAAGAAGAGCTTATTTAATCAGTTGGTCTTTGAAGTCAAGCAGCTAAAGGTCTTCCGGTGTGTAAGCGATGAGAAGTTAAATTTTGCCACTCGACACTACTAACGAACGTTGAATAATGGACTAAGTGTTGGCATAAAAATCAAGAGAATTAAATTCATTTCGGGA